AAGCACTAAATAAGATAAGTTTGATGAATTCTGGATACTTTGAGGCAATAAAATAACAATAATTTAATGGGCCGATTTCAAGTCTTATGTGGACTACTTCTTTAATAATTTTAAAGATGTTGTACTAAAATTTTAATTTTAATGAAAAAATATTTTGTATATCTTTGTCTTATTTTAAGTGTATCAGATCTCCATGTGAAAAATGTGTATAATCTTCTAATTATGAGTATGTCGATTATATTATCTATTATTTGTAGGTGGTATTAATGTATATCTGATCTATGTTGCCTTTACGACAACAGTAACTATGAAATAAAGAATCTGAATAAATTGTGCTAAAAAATATACAGAAATGTAACTTGATAAAATATTATATGTGCTAAGAACTGAAGCTAGAACAAGATTTTCTCTTGATGGTCACAAAATATAGTATATTTCGGTTGCTACCCTTAAATATATATCTCTAAGTTTTTCACTAGTAAACAATTAGAATGAATTTATATGTTTAAATAAGTATACAAGTTCAACTTACAAAAAAAAGTATATATTATTTATTCAATTGACTGAACAAAATATCATAAAGATACTTTTTTTTCCCTTTTAGTAGAATCGTCAATCATTAAGGAATAACTGCCATAATTTTCTTCTCGCCTTTTCCCTACTCTATCCGATAGAAATGAAATATGTTACTTGTCTTGTCTTCTCTGTTTTGCGTCCACCATATACTCTTTAAAACCTATGAATATATTTTCATAATTATAAACGGTTTACAAGAATAAAGATTTTATTCGTCTTCTATTCTCTTATTCCTCAAAAAAAAAAACATTTTTTTTCTTCTTCTATTACGTCTCTTTTTCATACATAGATTCTGGTGTACAATAAAAAGGATCTCAAAGAACAAAAATAGAGAGGAACAAAGAGACAGAATATTTTTTTGGAATAGTAAAAAAACGATCCTAAATGATTAAACAAAATAACAGTTGTTGTAATATTAGTAGTCGTAGCAATTTAGTTATTCTCTATTATTCAAATATTTTTCTTCCGTATGCAACAAATATATTTTCCATCGGCAAATAATGGTATGTTTACTTTTCTTATCATGACCGTTGTATATTTATTCTACTAAAGAATACTCAAATAACTTCAAATATATCAATTAGACTGTGTTTTCAAGTATCAAGAAAAATAAAGTCTAGTATCGCCCGATTCATCCAGATTACTGGATTTTTACTCGATTACAATTATTTAGTAACTAGACAATTGTTAGATTTCTTCTCAGTTACAACTATCGATTTGTCGTTCGATAATCGATCCATTTAACTATTGCTAGTTGTACATACAAACACATCTCCAGCGAGTCATCTAGATGATAATGAAACATGTATCGCCCAATTACAGGATTTTTTTCATAGATGATTTTTCCTTGGGATTAGACGTATACTATACAGTTGTACGTTGAATATGTGCAGACCAAATAAGTTTAATGAAAATTTGACTTTTGTGTTGCCTAGTAAGCGGATTCCATATTATTAAATGTATGAAATAACTACCTATAGTATGTTTTCAAACAGTTTGAACTTTGATATTTTATTATTCAGCAAGAATGAATTGAACGTGAAATTTCTCAAAAGTGAGATACAAATTCATTCTAATTGACTTTGTAAGATCAAACAATATCAGAGAGAACATAAAAAAATTGAGTATAAATTTGCCCAAAAAAAGTATCACTTTTAAGATGTAATCGTTGAAATATCGTAATGTCTTCAAAACTATGATTAGAAATATAGACTCGTTGACTGGTTAAATAAAATATAGAATTGTATTACAATACAAAAAGAACATAAAATGGTTCAACATTCGTTGTTAATCCGATCATTTTCTTAAATAGACTCTCGACACGAATACAAATAAAAATTTAATTAATTAATTTTATTAATATTATGGGTAAAAATAGAAAATAGTTTAGTCACCTTTTATTTCATTTTGAATGCACGAATTAATGTTCATCTAATTAATTTTTTTAAATTACACTAAAATTTTATAGAGAAAAAAGAAAAAAAGTTGAATATTAATTAAATGATATACACTCTTAGATCTAGTTTTGTCTTTTTTTTACAAATGTTCAACATCTGTTTAGATAGTCCAATTGATCCATCAATAGCGACTCAAATTGGCTCAAATAGTTGTCAAAATGAAACGAGTATTACGTTAATTGAAGAAATTGAAGAAAAAGTCAATTTTATTGTACCACTCCTTGTTGTATTAGGTAAATAGATTTATTTTTTTGTAGAGTGTATAAAATATTACGATCAAATTATTGAAATTTTATTTATTAATGATCTATTTATGTTAAATATAAGATTTTATTTCATGTCACTATTTTCATTCTCTTTTCATATTGTTTTTAGGAATAATTGGTAATTCTTTGAGTGTAATTACTTTTAGTCAACGAAAATTACGATCATTATCATGTGCCTGCTATCTATTAATTTTGGCTATTGTCGATACACTAGCATTAATTAATAATAGTCGACCATATTTTTTAAAAAAATTTAATCAAGCTCATCATTTAGAATCATCATTTCTTTGTGGATTTCATTTATTTTCAACAAGAGTATTTGATGAATTAAGTCCATGGTTATTAGTATTTGTTGCTTGTAATCGTTTAGTATTAACAAAATTTCCACGTAATCATCGTTGTTTTCAAACATCAAAATCAGCTGTATTAAGTACTCTATTATTAATATTATTTTTTATTTTATTAAATATTCATTTATTATTTGGTATTGGTCTTGGTTATTCAACAGTATCACCATGTGACAGAGTTTGTGGACCATTATCATCTAGTGAACATTATCTCTTTTTCTATCAACATATTTCACCTATAATCGATCTTATATTTAGTTTAATATTTCCATTTTGTTTTATATTTATTGCCAATATTTTTATTATGTTAAATGTTCGTAAAATAAGACGTCGTGTTATATGTCAACGAAAACATAAACGTGAAAGTCGTAATTCTCGTTTATCCATTGTTTTATTAGCTGATCTAATTACATTTTTAATTGTTAGTGCACCAGTATTAGTTGTCGAAATTGTTTATCGTTTTACACGTAGTTCAACAACAATTGTTTTAGATGAAAAATATGAACAAATGTTATCAATTTCATGGTTAATAGCCAATAGAATTTATTATCTTAATTATTCATTATCATTTTATTTTTATGTTTTAACATCATCTTATTTTAGACATCAATTTTATGTAGCTATTCGTTTAAAATATGTTCAAAATATATTTCGTTATTTATGTTTTAAAAAACAAATGAAAACAAAATTAACAAGAAAAGAGGTACAATCAGATTATTTTGGCTATAATGAACCATATTCATCACCCAGTGATGATACAAATACAAAAATTATGTTAAAAGAAACAATTAAAACTATAACACCAATGACTAATTTATTATAGACTTTATCTATCTACAATTTATGATTAAATAGAATTGTATTAGAATTAACCGGTTCCTTTCACGTTCATTTTAATGTTTTTTATTTTTTTTCTTCTTTTATTTGACTTTTTGTCAGTATAGTCGGTCATTAATGTTGTCAAATTTCTTTTTATTTTTTATGTTAAATGACATTCCATTTCTTCCGTGTCAATAAAAAAAGGTGTCCAAAACGTATTGCTCATTTAAGTAGTATGATCATGTTCGTTCAACCATCTGTACAAAATTGAACATTTAATTATAGAAATTTTAATGAAACACTATTCAAGTGTCAATAGATGTTAAATACTAACATAAATCGGGCATAATGATCAAGTTTTTCATTTTACCTACTAAGCTTATTATCTTTCATTACATATTAAAATGATAAATGAAACGTTTACTTAAATTTCTCATATTAAAAATTATTTACCATCAGTACTTTAGATCATTTTGTCTTAGAAATTTTCTTCTACTATCTACGCTAATTTTTAATAGAAGTTAGAGTGACCTTTGAATATATAAAAAAAGATTTTGATCTCTAATGTATCGTGAAAAAACGGATTATAACAGCTGTAAAATGAGCAAATACTCTTTTTATTTATTAGATGATCAAAAACAAACTGCTGTGTCAATTTTTTTATTTTTTAAGTGAATGTAACTACTTTCTCTTTTAAGTACATTTCAAAATAGATTGATCTATTTTGTTCTTGAAAATGGTGCCATCTTTGTTCTAATCGAATAAAAAAGATTGCACACTTCAATAATAAAAAATAAGAAGAAGAAAGAAGTTGTGTCACATAAAATTTCACCTTCTCTTCTTGCTTGTCAAACTTATAGCAATTTGTTTCAACTGTCATATTTACTTGAGTGATCAGAAATTTGTTGAAAATAAGTAAGTATAAATTTCGGGCTTCGATATTTATTCTATCAGTTTCAAGAGTAGACTTTTAAGAATATCGTCGTTCGAATTTTTTTAAATTTGACATTTTCTAATAGAGAGTCAAGTAGTAAATATTCTTAAAATGAGATTTTTCACAACATTTACATTAAAAAAGAGATATTTTTCTTTTTTCTTCGCATCGAAGGCAAAAAAAAGAAGTAGATCACTTTTGTACTTTTTTATTTTTCAGATTTGTCTTTTCTTGTCGATGTTTGGAATATTGTTTTTCTGTCGAGTAGATTGGCCACATTTGGTCATGTTCGTTTTTATTCTAGTATTTTATTAACATAAGAGTCATTTCTAAACGTTTTGATAAAACTTTTAATTTAAGAACTAGAACAGAATTGGTCCTGTTGATTTGTGTAAAATGTTTTAAGATCTTAAAGAAATTTATATGGCTATTCTTCTTTTTATAAAATCAACCCTTCGCTTTTAGCCTTCGTGATTCACTCTGATCAAACTCCTTTGTTTACTGGCAACTCCTAGGGCCCCATAGCATCCTGCAAACACCATAGTATCATAGTTTTATTTACAGTTAATATCTTTCAAGTTTACTTTGTACATCTCATTTTGTTAAATTTGTCGTCGTCATTGCGCCAGATGGATGTGACACCATACAATGCGACTTTTTCCATGATTTACGGTGTTTTATTCTGGTTTTTTTTATTGAGTTAAAACTAGTATAAATCAGAGCTATCATGTCATTCTCAATTGATGAGGAAAATATACGACTTTCATCTTTTCTGTTATCACTTTACAATTTAATCTCAACCAGCTTTCTGAAGGACGATTATATGCAATTTTACTATTTTTTTTAGTCATTTGACAGCTAATTAAACGCATTAAAAAAAATTACAGTTAACTTTTGGATCTTCAAATCTCGGTTTGACAATTCAACATTGTTCCAAAATTGTTCAATTTTGTTCGATTATTAATAGCCGATCAGAAACAAAGCTACTGTTTGATCTAAACATCAAAACTCACTAGATTTACTCGATTCCAATTATTTAGTAACGACAGCGGAAATCTATTAATCAGGCAATTGCTAGATTTCTTCTCAGTTGCAGCTATCGATTTGTCGCTCGATAATCGATTCATTTAACTATTGCTAGTTGTATATGTAGACACATCTAGTTAAAAGTCCCTTTTCCAACGAGTAATCTAAATGACAACTAGTCGTGCATCGCCTGATTACAGACGAAATGTGTCTAGATTTTTCTCATGGGTGATTTTTGCTTGGGGAAAGACAGCGTATTGTTATAAAAACATTTGAGGACTTAAAAACTCGAATGGTCTTGTCAAATGACTAAAAATAGCAAAATTGTATCTAATCCTCTTTCAGAAAGCTGATTGTGGTTAAATTTGAAATAAAAATGAAAACAGAAAAGAGATGAAAGTCGTTTATTTTCCTCATCAAATGAGAATAACCTTACAGATCTTAAAACATTTTACACAAATCCACTCTGTTCTGCTTCGTAAATTGAAATATTTTTCAAAACGTTGTGAAATGACTTTTATATTAACAAAACACTAAAGCAAAAACAGATGTAACTGAATGTGGCAGATTACTAAAATAATATTCTATCAAAGTGAAATTTTTCCTAGATACTTTGGATGATGAGCGTTTATCAACTTCTATATAATACGACCCTTATAATAAGTACATACATTAAATTTTGAACACAAATGAGACTGAACAGAACTTTCGTTGACATCCTGATGACTCAATTGTGTGACAATGTAGAAAAAGCAAGGTATATCCTTAATAGCATACCTAATGAAGGTTGTTTAAACGAAAAAGTGCTTTATTATTATGTAAAAATCTGTAGTCATTGATTTTTGACACATCACTTCGGCTGTAAGACAAACTTTATAATATCCACACGTTTTTTTAAAGAGAAAGATATATTCATTATACATTGACTTAAATATTCTTTTCCTTATTACAAGTCCTAAAATAACTTTTATCTCTATCTATTTCTGAATTAATGCTGGCTGACTGATGTTGTCTGCCAAAGTCTTGTTGACGCTTTTTGTTGAAGTGAAACAAAGATCCTTTCGAAAAGAAAAATAACAAAAACGAGAGTTTTTTGATGGAATTATTATGGATATAAAAATATCTTTAAGCGTATTATATAAAAAGTAATTTTTTTTGTTTTCTTTCTCTTTGTGTGGATTTTGTCCATAATATTTCTAAACGAAATATGAAAATATGCTTCAATAGAAATGCTCTAAGAATCGTGATAATTAATGAGAATAGCTTCTTTGCTATTGTTCGAAATTTACTAAACATTTAGATTTGAAAAAGTTTTTCATATACGCCTACTGTATAAGAGTACAAAGAAATTGTCTGATCTCCCGTTGTTTGTCTTCTCATTAATTGTGAATTCATAAGGTATTTGAGATACATTTTAATAAGAGATGGGGCGATACAGACAATATTAGCCCATTATCTATCAGCATGAGTTGTTGTTCATTTGTGATGGACTATCATAATAAAGGAATATAATACATTATTCGAACGCAATTAATTTAGCCGGCTTTTAGATAAATAATGCATTTATTAAATTTTGTCAAAAAGTTTTTTTCTTCACGCTACAGATTAAGAGAACTTCCATTTGTTGTATTATTTTTTGCGACTACTTTAGAAATAGAAAAAAAAAAACAAATATTCATCAATGAATGTTTCTGTTATGATCGTTAGTCATATTCTATGCAAATATATGCTGTTCTAAATCATTAACCAAAACTTTGTTCATTGACATGAAATAAAATTGAGAAAACAAAAAACCAAAACAGACAAGATTAATAATATGATTATAAGCAACTGGAAGGGAATCTCAACATTGTTGGCCACCGGTGAACTAAATTCTGTGACCTGTTTTCTCAATATATTTTGATAAAAGACTTCGTTCTAGTTTACAAAGTATGAGTTTAAAGAGCAAGTAATACATCCTGATTTTGTTAAAATCTGACTATTTCTATGTAATCAAGGACGTTGATTACGAGTATGATAACCGTTTGGGCCCGTAGATCTTTCCTAGCCCCTCTTTGGAGAATCGGTTTCCCAGAAATCTCCTGAAACCGTAGCAATGTTCTCCCAACATGTTGAAATTATAGTCCGTAAAGTTTGCATCAAAATGAGATCCCTCCCAGCTCTCCATGACCTTTCTTTGCAAAGTTACACAATTTACAAGAAACGCACTAAATGTTCATTATCACATCAGCGCTATAGAAAGAAAAAGGAAAAAATTAATTTAAATTAATTATCGAGTCCAGTACCAGTAAGACCTTATTGTCATACTTTGTAAACTAGAATTCTATCTTTGTAGCGTTAATTATTAAAACTTCATGTTTCATCACATTTCTAGGCATCGGTATGTCAGTCTACATTAGTGAAGACTGATACTTTAACTTCCATCAGTTGAATTTCAAGTTTCACTGTAGCATGTACCATACGAACTTAAATATCAGTTCATCTTTGACACTTACACATTCAATTAAAGGTTGAAATATTAAAATTTGAGATATAATGAAACATAAAAGCCGGAAAGAGTTATTGTTATTAAAATCGTATTTCAAGAAACAATTATCGTTTCCTTTCCTCCGGATATTAACCGTCCATTTTTTAGCCATTCATTAACGAACTTAAAATGCAACGGCCAGTTAAAGACCCACTATGTATCAGTCGATTTTCAGTCTTTCTGATTAGAAGTCACTCACCTTTTTTTTACTACCGATGACAAATTAAATAGATACACCGGTTTTAAAGTCGACGAAGCGACGGACATCCCTAGATGTGAATGTAATGCTGACCACGTATTATTTTTTATCAAGTGCTGAATATGAAAAATTACTTAAAATGTAGACGGACTTATTTATATCCAAAATGAAGCTTATTTTATGCTCTATCGAATGAAGTAAGAATAGAATCTTCATCTTGCTCAGTTCATCGCCGATGGACTCCGGAAGCCCAGGATTGCTTTAAAAGAACCAAAACTTCGAGCACGATTTTCTCCAAAATTCAAACTCTTTCAACAG